CCCGCCTCTCTACATTACCTACCCCAGTCCGGCTGGTCTTGGCCTGGACCTCGGCCTGGGGACCGTCTCCTGGTCTCCTCCTGGGCCGGGGCTGCGGCGCGACTTGCAGGCAACGGGCCGGAAAATTAACTTGGGAGTTTTGGGGAGGGCTTGCCGGGCATGGCGAAGCTGGCCCTCTGCACGCCCAGCAGCTGTCCCGGGGAAGACCTTGGTGACGCGACGCCAGGGCGCCAGCGCGCGCCAGCAGCACCGTGACTGACGCTCAGCCGCGCCGGTCGTTGCCGGTCGTTCACACTGGCGGTCCACCACATCAGGCAGGGAGGCGCCGGGGGCGTTGAAACTGCTGCTCAAAGTAAAAGCGGGTAGTCGCGTAAGTACCCGGCTGTTGCATAGAGGACGCCGCAGTGTTGCGGGTTTGCCTAATCCCTTCGCCTGTGAGATGCAGCCCCCCGCGGCACTAGCGAGTAGAAAATCCCACAACACTGTAGTGTCCACTCTGAAACACCCGGTACCTCAAACTCAAAACAAGGACCAATTCAAAATAAAATAAACTTTCAGCATTCAAGTTAATTTTTACAGGAAGCCATACTTAGTCCAAAATTCTCTAGCTCTGGTTCTTTCCCCCCAGTTTGTCGCCTCCTCTCTTCTCTCATCCAGCTCCCATATTATTTACCACTTATCATGACTCGCGTTCAGAGGGGGTGGCGGCCGCCGTACGGCCGCGGGCGGGCGAGGCACCTGCTGCGGGGCTGCTGTGGTCCGTCGTGCATCACCGCGGCCGGACGCCCGGAATGTGCCACAGACTATTTCACTTACGTATGCTAATACGCCTCGGCCGTAAAAGCGCTGCCGCGTTATTTCCTTCCTTCCTTATCCCCCCTCCCCCCAGAAAAAAATATTTCCGTCGCACAACGCTTCAGCAGCTCGGCCGGCATGGCGGGGGAGAGATTACTGTCCGCATAGGGGGTGTGTGTCGGCGGGCGAGAGGGTTTCTTTATAACAAGGCTAGCGCCAAAAATATGAAAACTGTCATTTTGTAGCTCTAGCACCTTCCAGATGCCATTGTTGTCTCAGAAATTGTTTCGAGAATCTAACATAAAAGTTCCTTAATTTTTACACTTTTGATTCGCGCTGAAGTCATGCTCGAGCCGCTCAAAGCGCTACCTCTTTTCCCTCCTACCCTTCTCTCCCTCCACCCCTACTCGAAACTGGAGAAGTCCACTCTCACTCGTCGCACGTGCAAGAAGAGGGGGTTGTTATGTTTTTTGCCGCTGAGATAGAGGGTAAAGAGGGTGGGTGATGGCCTATAGGGGTTGCAGTTATAGTGCAGTTCTACGACTTATGCTGTCCGGAATCTTTTCTTCTTCTAGGATTCGGAATGTCTCGCAGAGAAGTTGGGCCCGAGACGGCGTATCGACAGGAAGCAGAAAGGGTATCCCTCAGTCAGCCTTCACCGTG